TGTAAAAAGTTTATTTATCAGTCAATAATTATGATTTAAAGTTGTTTCTCATTCTGGGGCTCTCTAGTTTATGTGTAATAAATACCAAGAGTCTGCGTTACTTGGTTTTTTTTTAAAAAAACCTTAGAATGGGGCGCGCTGATTTAAAATATGCATATATAAGCAGAAGCAAGCGAACTGATTCGAGGATGGCTGATCAGGTCGGCACTCGTTGAATGAGAATTTCACTTCTTCGTTTTGTTTAAAACGTTGCTTTGACAGATCTCCACAACCCTGTTATGATTTTCAAAATTTGGTACCCCTTGCTCTGATAGCCGGGGCCAGCAGGATAGTGGTAAGTGCAATCTATGATGAGCCTCGAGACTGATTAGACCATGTGCTAACCATGGCCCATACAGAAATTCACTCCCCTATCAGGCCAAAACAGTGCACAGGCAGGCACAAAACCCAGGTAGTGTCCCGGTCCTGGTTCGGTTCGCCGCGTCGCTTCCCAGCTGAAGAACAAAAGGCGACCCTCGCGGTCCTCGTCACAGTCAGACCTAATTACTTTCACTCGATTACCCATTTCACCGTCACGCTGGAATCCAGCAAATTTTCGAAAAAATTGTTTCGCGAGTACCTAGCAATTTTTTCCTTACTCTCCGTTCAAAGACGAATTGAAAGAGGTCTCATTCATAAAAATCGGCCGAATAGAAGAGAAGTTACAGTATTCGAAATCCGAAGAAATCAACGAAACTTCTCCAAACAAAAAATAAAATGAAGGGGAAAAAAGAAATGTATAAATTACAATCAAATATAACTGACCTCAGAATTTGGCAAGCAATTCAACTATATAACGGAGAAAAAATTGGGAGAAATTACAAAAAATTCGCCTTTTGCAAGGGACTTCCTTGTAAGAATTTTGATAAGAAGGCAAGGATTGAATACCAGCGCAATACACCATACAATACATGGTGTGCCTGAACGAACATTTTTTTTTTTTGTGTCAAAATCGAAAATTCTTTATATTTTTTAACTTCAGTGTCTCTTGAGTCGTTTAAGCCAAAAAAAAATTCCGTCAAGATTGTGGAAAGTAAAGGCGCTTTAAAAGTATTCTGGGGCTATGTATCCTAACTGTGTCCACGCATGGTTTCTGTTCAGCATATCCATGTGTCAGTATTTTTACACGTAGAATCTAATTTTCACGTCAGGGAGTCGACACATGTCGATTTTTTCGATTTCATACGGAAAATTGATGGTTTTTCGGGATTGAAATTATTATTGTTTCATGAAAAATAAATGCACCCAAAATGACTATAGCATATTGATTTTAATATATTTGCACCCACGAAGTTGGTTGGTAAATTCAAGTGAGTGCATCGACCTGGTATATCAAGTTTCTGCAATTTTTTACGGCAAATCGGTAGATTTTCGGGATGTAGATTGCTTACTTTCAATTCATGAATGAATAAAGCATGGACATGGTTGAACTTCTTTGCATGGAAATACGTTTAAAATAACAAAATCAAGACATATTTAATGCAATTACATTTATATCGAGTCAATTTCTTTTCAATAATATATCGGGATTTATAATAGGTACCGGTGATTTGGATAATTTAGCCCCAAAAATACCTTTAAATCGACTGTATCTTTCAGGAGTTCAACGGAATTTTTCCTTTCTTCGCTTAAATTATTCTGTAGCACTTTTCTTTAAGAATCTGATAGGATATTGCTGGGGGCAGATCAAAAAACTTAAACTCGTTCGAATAGCTTTCTACTTTCACAATACACGGTCTCGTCAAAGTGCGTCGTCGAAGAGTTGGATCGTATGAATTCTCTTGTTGTGCTACTTGCCTATTTTGAAATCTCTGTAAATGAAAACTAAAGGGGTTGATATGTGTGAGTTAATGACGCGCCTTATCAACACATTGTGTTGGAGTTCACTGCTTGTTATATCTCTCCACCGGGTTGGATTGGGGATGATACACTGAGGTATGACGAGGTTGGATGGACAATTCTTTTAACGTTTTATCCCACAATTTTGATTGAAAACATGGACCTCTGTCCGCAATAACTTTAAGTGGTTTTCCATGCACTTCTACAAATTCTTTAAATTTTCTGCACACAACCGCAGCAGTTGCTCCCCTAAGGGGGTAGAGACATAACCATTTTGAGAAAACATCCAAGATAACAAACACATGATTAAAGTTCCCAAAGGCACGAGGCAGCGGGCCAAAAAGATCAACCGATACAAGTTCGAGCTTTGCGCTCGCTGTCACTGGTACAAGTTTGGATTGAGTGTGACTTTGAAGTGCTTTGCTTTTCTGACATTCTAAGCAGGTTGCTACATATTTATAAATTAATTTTTTCATTCCTCTAAAAATTACGATATTCTTTAAATAATTGTAAGTTTTGTTATAGCCTAAGTGACCAAGACTCTCATGAGCCTTGGAAACAATTTCTAGTTCGAGTAATTTAGGTATACAAAGCAAGTTTTTGTGATCTTTTGGATTTTTGAAAAATAAATTGTTGTCATGGATAAAATACATTTCAGATAGTTTTGTAGAATTGGTATTCATAAGTTTCTTAATAATAATACTATATTTAGGATCTTCTTGATTTAGTCTGAACAGGTTTTCAATTTGAAATGGTTTCACATTTGGAAAAAATACAGCATTGACATTAATTTCTAAGTTGTTTGGGGGTAAATTGTGGTATTCAGGTGGGAAACGTGAAAGAGTGTCCATAGCAATGTTTTCTACTCCAGGGATATGCTGGACTTCAAGATTATATTCCTGTAGAAAAAGCGACCATCTAGTCAATCGCCCTGATGTAAGTACACAAGATCTTAAGGCTGTTAGGGCATGATGATCTGTTTGAACAATTATTTTTCTACCAAGAATTATTTCCCTAAACTTTTTACAACAAATTACTATAGCTAAAAGTTCGATTTCAGTTCCAGTATAGTTCTTTTCAGCAGTTGTTAGGATTCTACTGTAAAACGCTATTGGTCGCCTATGACCTTCAGAATCAAATTGGTAAAGTTCACCTGCAGCTCCATTTAATGAACTATCAGTATTAAGGTAAAATGGAAGCTCTGGATTTGGGTAGTTAAGTACAATTTCTTTTGTGAAAACTTCTTTAACTTCTAAGAATGCCTTACTCTCAGATTCAGTCCATTTCCATGGAACATCCTTCCTAAGGAGATGTAAAAATGGCGACAACATTTCTGAATATTCTTTATGGAATTTTGAGTAGAAGTTCATTAATCCTATGAATGATTGAAGCATTTTAATATTTTTTGGTTCAGGGAACTCCATGATTGCCTTGACTTTTTCAGGGTCTTTTTTCACTCCTTCAGTCGTTATTATAAAACCCAGATGATTTATTTCTTCCAAGAGAGGAAAGAATTTTCTAAATTTTAGAGTCATACCTGCGTCTCGCAAGGCAGAGAAAACACAAAACAAATGCCGCAGGTGCTCTGCAAAAGTCTCTGATATAACTTTAAAGTCATCAACAAAGCGACTGAGGAAATCATTAAACTCAACTCCAAATACTGTGTCCATGGCTTTTATGAAGAGTTGCATGGAGACACACAGTCCATAAGGCACTCTACAGAACCTGTAGTTCCGGCCTTCAAAAACAAAACTCACTGGGTCTCGAGAGTCCGGATGCAGTAATACTTGTGTGAAGCTTTCAGTACAATCCAAAGTTGATATAAATTTAGGATTAGGAAATTGATTAATAATGGAATCTATGTGACCTGGTGACTCTGCATCAGTAATTAATTTTTCATTAAGTTTTCTGGCATCAAGGCAAACACGTACTTCCCCGTTATCTTTCTTAACAGGCACAATTGGGTTTGAATATGGAGAGCTAGATCTTTCTATTACACCTAAGTCTAGCCATCTCTGGATAACTTTTCTGACTAGGTCTCTTACAGCAAAAGGAACCGGGTACGATCTTTTTACAAATGGTTCAAGATCCTTAAGTCTAAGTTTAGCTACAAAGGAACGGCATAGCCCAGGTTTATCGGAGAAAACATCTCTATTAAGGAAGATTAATTGGGCTAGTTGATGCTTTAGTTCATTACTAATATTTACAGACGATAATTTATCACAAATCATTTCTTCAGTCAAATTTCCTTCAACAGCAAGATGTGAAATAGGAATGTTTACCTTGATGCGCTTTCTACGATTGCGCTCAAGATCTTCTTTTAAGAGAGGAAGCCCCTCACCAGCAACTAACTCTGACAGAGAATAGACTTCAGTCACTCTTGTTGGTATTAGTTCAGATTTAACTTTTTTACTAGGCATAGAAACTTGGGTATTAGGTACTTCTGATGTTAGAATCCCGTTAATTTTATTGGCAAGGGTTTGTGCAAAAATCTCCTTTCCAGTACTATTTAAATGTAAACCATGTCTATTAAAGTGTTTTCTTCTCAAACAGTTTCGCGAATCAAAAAAACGGATGTTAGGATTTTTTTGTAAGAGTTGACCTAAAGTTCAGGTTAAGAGGAACATTCATATGAGAGTTAGATTTCAAGTCAAAGCGAGGAAAAATTTCACATAGTATTAGAGGTTGGTCAAAGGTTTTCAAGTATTCAACATTAAATTCTTCTTGGGTTTGTTGCACAGTTTTATTAGGATCAATATTGTTGGTTCCAGCTAAGAGAACAAAAACAGTATTTTTTGGGGACACTCGACGGTGACGCTCCAAAGTTTCCAAAGTTTCGTTAAAAGTGGCACCAGGTTTACAATCTACATGCAAGTCAATTTCAGGCAAAAGAGGATTCATAAGCTTATTTAAGTCCTTTCCACGACTATCTGATACTACAATTACCTTTCTGCGCTGTAAAGTAACGGCCGACACCAACTGTGTTGAGTTGGTCTGCTTACCAAATTTAATGAATGGAACTTTAACTTCTCCATTTAGGAGTTCCAGGGTTTCATCTACGCAATTGATGGAAGCTTGATATCGTTTCAAAGAATCAATACCATAAATAAAAGAGACATTCATTTTGGGAATGATTAAAGCTGGTGTTAAAAAAGTAGCCGAGCCAAACGTTACAGTCAAAAGTGTTTGCAGCGTTACATTTTTTGAACGAACCCCAGTTGCTCCCTTGACAGTTAAATTAGACACTGGAAGAGTAGGAAGATCAGTTGTACAATTCTGTTTTAACACCTCAAAAAATTCTGCACTGACTAGCGTAATTTCGCTTCCTGAGTCAATAAGAACCGAGGTTTTAAATCCATTAACATGACATGAAACATACGGGCATTTCGCAGGAAAGTTAGGTACATCATCTTGCTCACTTTCTGCTAGAAGAAAATGGTCATTAGTGCTCATCAAAGTTTGAACCGATTTATCAATGTCATTTGAGAATAACTGGCCTTTTGTTAAATTCAAAATCTTAGTGGCAACATTACAGAGATTATATTGACATACAGCTAAATTATCATGTTGATGTTCTTGATTGGTACATTTTTCAAAACAAATTGGAAAGACATTTTCATGTTCAGAGAGCTTATGTAGGAAATACTCATTAAATTGTGTTAAAGTAGGTTTACTGATAAGCATTGACAAATCTGTAGTGAAGTTGCACCAAAAAATAGGGATCTTAGATGAAAAAGCAATAAGGGATTCACAGAAGAGCGAAGAAAAGCAAGCTGACATGTGTTTATCAGTAGAGACAGGTTTCACCGTCTTCTCTGAAGTTGGAGTTACCAATTTAGAATAAAGCCAATAATTAGATGGGAATATCACAATCCCGTCAATTGCCGAAGACTTCAGGCTACATGCTTCAGTGCACAAGTTGAAAATAGAATTAGGTTTCAAATTTGATAATAAGCTTAAATGTACAGTAAAAGGCACTTCTGGGATATCTCTGTCCACTGTCAACTTCAAGGGTGATATAACCAAATAAGTCAGCAATATTTTCTTTGAAGATTCCTGTAGAGTTAGATTATACAGATAAAATGTTTCTAGTGTACCAATATTCTGTGTATCTTGAAAATGAACAGCATTAATATGAGTTAACGTGGAAAAATTGTTACGGATCTCACTCTCCTCAGAGTCGTGTTCCAAGTTAGGAGATGGAACTGGATTTAGTCATGCTTGAGGATCAGACTGATCCGAAGTTAAAGGCTCGTATGCCGCTGGAGGTGGCACACTAAAGTCAAAATTCACCTGGTGGACGTGAGAACGTTGGTTAAATACTTGTTGATTAGCTTTCTGGTTACCGGGTGGAATCTGCTGTGAACTGCTTTTAACCGCACCCTGGCGGGGTTTCACAGAGAGTTGGTCAAAAATCTGAAGCGTCGCTATCACCTCATCATTTGTTTCTGAGTTACTCTGAGCCAGCGCTACTTGAACATTCTGAGGAAAGTGATAGCTTATCGCAGCGATAACAGTAGACGAATCAAGAGGAATATCTAAATACTTTGCGTGTTTGACATAATTCAGGAAATAGTTAGCATAGGTTCCAGGAGTGGGTTCAACCTGAGGCGGAGCCAAAATGGCTGAACGTAACTTATTCTGGAGTCCCTTACTCCAGAAATACTTGACTAATTCAGTACAAAATTTCTCAAAATCTCCCCTAAATTCCTCACGGTATACTTGATACCAGGTTAACGCACCGGGGGCTAAGGATTAGTGGGCCCAAAGGCAAAATGACCGTTTCAGGTTCCGCCCTGCACACGGAAAAGGACCAGGGACCCCCCTGGTCTAGGCTCCTGGTTGACAGATCTTGAACTAGGGAAACTGGGAGACGTGACGTCGGCAGAGCCGGTGGCAATGACCCAGTCAGCTGAGGTAATCTGACCGTGCCGACTCAGCCGTTCGCGAGATCGGCCTTGCAGACTCGGTGATGGAGTCAGCATTTGTATGTGCAGTATAGTGGCGCTGCGTCCTTGGGTGTAATCTTACAATCTAAACTGAAATCTTATATGCATGGTGTTCTACTGAAACACCGTTTTACTATGCTAAATGATCATCTGAAAGAGAAATGTGTTTGTGGCTAATCCCTTCTGGTCACTCTGAAACCAGCTGCTCCAAGAATGATTTCTCTGCGTAGGGGGGATTGAACAATCGTGGTCAACTACGGTTGGTACTGTTGGTAGCTCGTTGAGTTGATCGGGAAGTTGGGCCGGGAGGAAAACGTTCGTTTATGGGTCTCCTGCCTTAATTGATTTTTCGGTGGAATCGTTGCCATGCCAAGATGAGTTGGTAGAGATGGGAACGGAAACTTTTGAAGCAGCTGCATGATGCGCAACTCAGGAAACGGGATATATGGTCTGAACTTTCCGGCAGCTTCGCAGGGATGCTCCCAGGGTGGGTGCGAAGTCGAGCTATAGGCACTTCGTTATCGCTGTGGTGTGGTTTCTCGCTGAGGAGCCGGTGCCGTAAGCCGAGTATTCGTGAGACTTGCAGCTATCATGCTTGAAAGGTCCTCCGCCTGACCATTGTGCTGTGGTGAAGGGCGCTGTGGGGCTGAACGACGGGGTCTTCATGTAGACTTCGTCTTAAATGAGATCAGTTTCTTCCACCAGAACCTCCGCGATTGTGACTGCCAGCATGCAGGACATACATTTTCCATCGGGCTATTTTGGATGTCTTCTTAGTCGCCCTGGCGTTGCGAGGCGGGCGTTGAACGTCGAGAGTGGGGTTGGCGAAGGTGACGTAGGTTGAGCTTAGCCACGATCCTTAGCAGCGTTATGGAGTGCCGAACTCATTCCCTGCGCCAGAAGTTGCAGACCGTCCCTGTGTTCCTGATTGCTTGAAGCTTTGCCTTCCCTTGACTGCACCTCGTACTGGTTCTTGGTTCAGAGTCTGGTTAAAGGGTGGCCAGTAGGGCTCAATTTTTTTGGGGGGGTTTTCACTTTACCTAATTAATTCTAAACATTTAATTCTAAACACTTCTAAACAACTTGATTCATCGGGATAAAACGGTAACTAAATTTCCGTAAACACTGGAACCCGATAAGGATACCGCTTTCTACTTTTATTTCTAAACATTATTTAGAAACTACTTTAGTGTGTGGCGCCCTGGAAAATATTCGATTATGTTTACAGTTAAATAAAAAACTACGGTGAATTTATCATGGATTCATCTAACTTAAATATTTACAATTAATTTTACACTTGTTGGTGTTTAACTTCCATTCAACATGACTTGTAAAGAAATCTCCAACATGTCACAATTTCTATGCGGTTTTCTCCAAATTATTTAATATTTTCGATAAGGAGGGGGTAATAAAATTTTCTTACAAGATAATTTGATTAATTAAAAATTTACTGACTTCTGTTGTCATTCGATTCTACTAACTCTAACTTAGTCTACTTAGCTCTTGCTCGATTTCTTTTCAGGAAATTTAGTTTGTGGGGGCGTAACCACATCTTACAACTTCTAATTAATAATAAAATAGAAACAGAAATTTTAAACATTTCCAACGCTCACAAACGTGGCAAACGTACTTGCGTTTTTCTTTAGAATAATAAAAATTTCCTGGAATGATGGAACTAAATGATGGTCTTATTGAACTAAATTTTTACAAAATCTCCTGGAGACTCGTTCTTCCAGTGGTTATCTGAATGGAGTGGCAAATTCAGGCCATTAATAGAAAGAGTCTCGTAGGGATTTACCTAATAGAACCAAAGTGGCTTTATTAGGTTTCATCTGATTTCATCAGACAGATTGCAGACAGATTCACCGGACAGATTTCATTTGTCGAAACTGCCTGACTCGAAATGACTTCTGCTGTTTCTCTCTTAGTAAGGGAAGAAGTTCAGCATAATCTACCCTGGTCGACTCGGTGTTAATAAATATATTTAAGGTATGCATTCCACATGATTAGAAAATGAAACAAGCAGTGAACTCCAACACAATGTGTTGATAAGGCGCGTCATTAACTCGCACATATCAACCCCTTTAGTTTTCATTTACAGAGATTTCAAAATAGGCAAACAGCATAAAAAGAGAATTCACGATCCAACACTGCGAGGTCAAAGACGCACCTTGACGAGACCGTGTATTGTGAAAGTAGAAAGCTATTCGATCGAATTTAAGTTTTTTGATCTGCCTCAAGCAAAATCTTATCAGATTCTTGAAGAAAAGTGCTACGGAATAATTTAAGCGAAGAAAGGAAAAATTCTGTCGAACTCCTAGAAGATAAAGTCGATTTAAAGGTATTTTGGGGCTAAAATACCCAAATCACCGGTAGTAAAAATCCCGTTATATTATTGAAAAGAAATTGACTCGATATAAATGCAATTGCATTAAATACGTCTTGATTTTGTTATTTTAAACGTCTTTCCATGCAAAGAAGTTCAACCATGTCGTTGCTTTATTCATTCATGAATTGAAAGTAAGCAATCTACATCCCGAAAATCTACTGATTTGCCGTAAAAAATTGCAGAAACTTGATATACCAGGTCGATGCACCCACTCGTTGAATTTACCAACCAATTTTGTGAGTGCA